GTTCTCCAATTTGCAAATAGATTAATAAAGCCAAACGAAGCAGCTAAAACCTATAATATAAAACGTAATAATTTACATTACAGAATAAAGAAGTATAAAAATTAATTATCCAACACCAAGTTAGGTTTGACAAGTAACTATACTGTTGCACAAGTATTTAATGAAGATGAGGAAATAATGTTGAAAGACTATCTAATAAAAAGCTCTAAAATGAACTATGGGTTGACATATAAACAATCACAGGAATTAGCATTTCATTATGCAATGAAACTTGGCAAATGTCCAAGTAAATGGGCGGAAAATAAACAAGCTGGTATAGAGTGGTTGAAAGGCTTCATAAAACACCAACAAGAACTTTCACTTTGAAAACCTGAAAATATGAGTTTGTCTCGCTCAACAAGTTTTAATGAGCACAATTGAAATCAATTTTTGGATAACTATGAAAAAGTATTAAAAAAACATCGTTTCACTCCTGATAGAAATTGAAATATCGATGAAACCAACATAATGACAGTAGTACAAGCACCTCATGTTATAGCATCACGTGGAACAAAACAAGTTGGACAGTGTGTATCTGCTGAACGTGGACAACTAATTACTATGTGTGGTATAGGAAATGCCATAGGAAATTTCATTCCACCTGTCTTCATATTTTCAAGAGCGCGGTTTCATGACACTAAATAATTACTAAATCGTTTTTACGGCGAGCAAACGTGTTATATACAGAAGAAATTTATCATCATATATATATTTTCTTTTTCTTTTTAAATTTATTTTTTATTGAATTTATTCAACGGAGAAAAAAAATATCATGGATCGAAAAAAAATCTAACGAAATGGGGAAAATAGATGAAACGCAAATATCAACAAATGTTGTTCGCAATATTTTTTATGAAATGTTTTCAAAGCAGCAGAAAGATGTTTTGAAGCTTATTAGTGGTAACTTAAAAATAACTAATGATAACATCAATGAGTTACTTGATGAAATACATAAATCAAAACAAATTTGCGACTCATTAAAAAAAGAAAACAAAAAGATTAACACTAAACTTAAAGAAACTACCGAAAGAGTTAGAATACTCGATAAGACAAATAAAGATATCGAAGAAAGTCTAACAGTTACTCAGGATATCCAAAATAAAAGACAAAGACAAATTAAAAGTTTTAAATTCATCAAATCGGCTTAAAGGAACAGGAATATACATTAACGAAGACTTCTCTTTTGAAACAACAACCATAAGAAAAAAGCTCTCAGAAGAAATGAAGATGCAAGAAAAATGGTAAATATTCTATTATAAAATATGATAAACTTATAGTTAGAGAATTTAGGAAAAAGCAAGCGAGTGCTTAATTACTTTATTTATTATTTTTTTTCTATTTTTTATTCTTTTTAACAGTTTTAAAAAAAACAACACCCTTCTTATGAATGATAATAATGATTCAATTAACTTAGAATTTAATTCATTACAAAATAAAAAAAGGATACTTCTAGATAAAACTTCTGACCCGGATATTAATTTTTATAGTAATAATAAAGCTTTTCAAAATATTTATACTTTATATTATAACCCTAAATCTGCAAACATAATGCAAGGAATAGCTGTAAATTCTTTTTCAATTTTGCATTTAAACATTAGGAGCATTTCAAAAAATTTTGAATCATTTAAAGAATTTTTATGCGACATTAAATTCAATTTTAAAATTATTAGTCTCAGCAAAAGTTGGTGTACTGATAAATATATTATGTCAAATACAAATTTTCAGCTGCCAAATTTTAAAGTGATTCATCAATTTAGAGAATCTGGGAACAAAGGAGGGGGTTTGTGTGTATTTATAAGCAATACTTTAGTATACAAACTAAGAAAAGATTTGTGTTCAACCACTAATGATTGTGAATCACTGGCATGGAAATAATAAATAAAACCACAAAAAACATTATCATTCACGTTTTATACAGACCACCTTCAGGTTCAATAAAACCATTCGAAAATTATATTAAAAACATAATTAAAAATAAGTTAAGCAAAAATAAAAGCGTTTATTTTGTAGGTGACTTTAACCTGGACATGAACATGCGTTATTTAAATACAAAAATAAATAATTTCTATAACGTCATTTATCAGAAAGGCTATATTCCACTAATTAACAAACCCACAAGAATAACTAGAGAAAGTGCAACTGTTATAGACCAAATAGTAACCAACGAATTTAAATCAAAAACAAAAACAAGTATATTTAAATGCGTGATTTCAGACCACTTCCCTATATTTCTTATCTCACAAAAATGTGATAATATCTATGCCAAAAAAATGAAAAAATTACACGACAAATAAATACAAAATCTATTGATAATTTTAATAATCTTTTTGCAGATTTAAACTGGGATGACCTCATTGATATCGTACACACAAATAAGGCATACAATAAGTTTCTAGATAAATTACAACCACTTTATAATACAGCGTTTCCATTAATTACAAAATGTGTGAAAAAAAAGACTGTCAAACCCATGGATAACTCCGGGAATTAGCAAGTCGTCCAAAAAAAGCAACGACTTTATAATAAATTTCTCAAAAAAAAAAACTTTCAACAATGAAACCAATTACAAAAATTATAAACGTATTTTTGAGTTGGTTATTAAAAAGTCCAAGAAGTTGTACTATACCGAGCAATTAATTAAACATAAATATGATCGGCACAATATTTGGAACATTATTAAGGAAGTAATTGGTACGAAACAAACTGACAGAAATATTCTTCCTACAAACCCAGTGGGCATTTCGACGTCGAACGAACGTCGAGCGACGTCGGATCTCGACGTCGGATCGACGTTGGGTTTACGTTGGAAATGGAAATGTTATTTGACGTCGGATAAACTGACATCGCGCGACGTCGGCATTCCGATGTAAATCCAACGTTTTTTTGAAAACTAAAAAACGTCACCTTACGCAGGAATCCAACCTCGGTCTAAGAGAAACCAAATCCTACGCGCTTACCACTACACCATAGGGACATATTAATTTATGAGTTTATTTAGTAATTTATACTTGTAGCTATTTGGGAATTGTTACTTTGATAAGAAATAATTTTGTTTAAATATTATATAAATATTAAAACGAATAGTTATATATAATAAAAAATGTATACTCGAAAATGTTAATAGTTAAACAACTATGCTAGTGCATCATACAAAACCTTATGATGTTTTATCAACCATTATTCAAACTTATTTCCATTAATAAAAAACACGCTTAGTTCACATATTTATTGAAGAGCGCAATTGCACACATATTGTTGGGTTTGGATTAAATTTTCATCAGCGATGTCTTACGACGTTGTTCCGACGTCGTTTTAAGGAAGTTGGATTGACGTCAAAAGACGTCAAAAGACATCGGAGTACGTTAATATTATGACGTTGTCCGACGTCTTTTTATCGACGTTGGATCGATGTCAGTACTGGGACGTTTTTTGGACGTCTTTTATAAGATGTCGGAACAACGTCAAAGTACATCGAAACGACGTCAGGGGATGTTGAGATAAAGACATCGCCCGACGTCATTTTACTGACATCGGAACAACGTCGGAATAGGTCTTTTGACATCGCTGATGAAAATCGTACGTAAATCCGACGTCGGATTGACGTCGGGTGCCCACTGGGAATCTAACAATTGAAAATAAAGTTATTACAAATAAATCTTTAATTGCGGAAACACTTAACCAATATTTTATAAGTGTAGGTTCCACTCTAGCGTCAAAAATAGAAACCACTGAAGTAAACTTTGAGACATATCTTACTCCTAATAAGACCTCTAAAATGGATATTTATGAAACTACTGAAAATGAACTTATAGATGCAGTAAATCTTTTAAAACAAAACAAAAGTGTAGGAGTTGATAATATTAGTAGTAATATAATAAAAAAATCAATAAAGTACTTGACAATAAAACTTCCTAATCTTTATATTGGCAACTCTAAAATAATTAGAGAGTCATCAATAAAATTTTTAGGAGTGATACTTGATGAAAACTTAACATGGAGAGAACACACAAGTACAATAGAAAATAAAGTTTCAAAAAATATTGGTATACTATTCAAAGCCAAGCAGTTTTTAAACCAAAACTGCCTAAAAATTTTATATTTCTCCCTCATACATTTTTATATAAACTATGCAAACATTGCCTGGTGCAGCTCTAATTTAAGTAAAATTAAAAAACTGCTTAGTAAACAAAAACATGCTGTCAGAATTATTTCAAATGCAGGTCGATTCACACATACTAAAGAACTATTTAATAATCTTCACATACTCAATGTTTTTCAGTTAAACCTTTTTCAATTTCTTATTTTTATGTACAAACTTCATAATAAAATATCACCTGTAATATTTAGTACACTTTTCAATAAAGTTAATCACAAGTACCTTACAAAATTTTTTAAGTACAATTATGAGCAACCTAAAATGCATTATTTGGCTACCAAATTTTCTATTGCTATAAGAGGTCCTAAATTATGGAACGCTTTATTAGGTGACGAGCTGAAAAATTGTTCTTCTCATTACCTATTCAAAAAAAAAATTGAAACAAAAACTTATTAGCGATGTTAATGAATTAAATTCTTTTTAAAAATTTTTTTTTTTTATTTTTTCTTTGTTTTTAACAATTATCTTATTAACTTTATAAACTCGCCTATTAGCTTATCTATGGTTTTAATTTTTTTTTTTTTTTTTAATTTCTTTTTACTATTTTCTTTTGATTATAGATTAGTAACTAGTTTTGACATACGTGTAGATAATTGTATATAATTTTTTAAATGGCACAAAGTAATTGTATATTTAACTTTTAACGGTTGTAGACGCTTGCTTATGAAAGCACGTCGGAGTGTAGTGATAAGGCAAGTATTGTCTTCTTTTAACCCCGGTCATGTAGATCTTATTTATACTACACGGCATTGTATTCTTTTTTTTACTGACGAAATAAATTAAAAAAAAAAAAACAAATGACACCATGTTAAAAGGAGGTCCTCCTGGTTGTATTGGTTATGCAAACAGTCCAAAAAGTGGCTGGATGACAGGGCCACTGTTTTTAAAGGTTTTAGAACATATAAAAAAACTAGTTAGATGTTCGAAAGAGGATCCTGTTTTACTCTTAATTGATAATCATGAAAGCCATTGTACATTAGATGCCATTAATTATTGTTTTGAAAATGGAATGGTGGTTTTAAGATTTCCTCCTCACTGCACTCACAGAATGCAACCTTTGGTTGTGGCTGTTAATGGTCCTTTAAAGCAAAAGCTGTCTATTTCTCAAAACGACTGGCTTGTACGCAATCTGGGGAAAACAATAACAAAACACGATTTAGTTGGCATTGTGACACCAGCATATAATACAACATATATTGCCAGGAATATTGTTGCAGATTTTTCTACACCTGGAATATATCCTTTTTTACGCCTTGCCTTATGCAATGACAACTTTCAAAGTGCTGAAGTGGCTAATCGTCCTTTGTCAGAAAATCTAAGATTCTTACTGCACCCCAGAAAGAGAAGAAATAAAAAAATATTATCTTTTACGCAAGACAAAATTTCAAACCTCATTAGGAATTTCAAAACAAAAAACATCCAAAATCGGATCTAAGTCCTCAAAAGCAAAACTAAAACGAAAAATTCTTTAATCTATGTTGAGTTATCATAAATTTAAACTATTTTGATTTCTGAAAGTTAAAATTTTGTTGCTTGTAACGATGCTATTAAAACTTAATGTTATATATATATATATATATATATATATATATATATATATATATATATATATATATATATATATATATATATTTATATATATATATATATATATATATATATATATATATATATATATATATATATATATATATATATATATATATATATATATATATATATATATATATATATATATATATTCTTTATTACTTTGTTAATGCTTTTTCTTAACTTTAATGTTGAACTTAACTTTTACTTTTGTATTCCACAGTTTATATCTTAAAGTTCTCATTTTGTTGCTTGTAAAGATTTTTTTTAAAATATTTGATGTTGTTTATTAGGAATATTTGATACTTTGTTTTAGATCATTGTTTTAGTTAGATCAGTGGATACTGTAAAATTTTTACATAACCCTTTTCAATTGTTACTACATGGTGGACACGATTTCTAATGAAACTTAAATATTCCTAATATTTGAAAGTTTCCCGATAAAATATAACTTTTGTTTGACCAACTCTTTAGAGTGATTATAAGATTAGATAGTATAGAAAATATATTTGATTCTTGTTTTTTGAAACTTAAACTTAATGAAGTTTAATAATAAATTAATGCTCTTTTTAAAAAAAAGTAAACTAGTCACTAGTTTTTTCCATTTGCCAGAAAAAATTCAAATCTGCCCCATGCAAATTTAAAGCTGCCCCAGGTTGGGGCAGACGTGAACATTTTCGCGCACCTTGCTGGAACGAGAATACTGACTTAATTTTTAACTTACAATTTATACAAATGAAGCAATTTTTTTCCTTTATGATTAATTTAACTGTTCAAAACAAAAATAGTAGTTGAAATAAATTTTTATAACAAAAAGATTTATTATAATAAAAAGAGTAAAAAGTGTTTAAAGGTGCCTCCCTCTCCCCTAATACACGGTAGAATAAAACATTTATAATAAATGCTTAAAACGAAAATAAAAACAAAAAATATATAAAACTATAAAAAACTAGATATCACTATTTAAAAATAATTAAATAACTAAAAAGTAAAACAATAAATGACTGACAAAAAATAATAAGTAAATTTTTATACGCTAAAAAACTACAGGAAAATGATTACTACAAGACCGCTTAAATAAAAAATGAAATCCTAAATAAAGAATCCTAAAAAAATATAAAAGAAAACTAAAGAAATATATGAAATAAAACAAAAGAAATAAATAAAAAATTAAAAAAACTTATATTTTCCGATCTTTTTTCGATGTATAAAGTTTTTTATTCCTTTTTTTCTATTCTTTTTATTTATTTCATTCATAAACTTTTTCCCTTAACTTCTATTTTCTACACTTCTTTATTTATTTTCTTTCAGATATTTCTTTTTCTTTTCTTGTTTTAAAATATTTATTTTTATTTGATTTTAATATTGATTTTAATTTATAAATGTTTTCTTTTCTTTTTTTTTCTTTTTCCCTCTTAAGAAAAGTTGTTTTTATCCGTCGTTTGCGAAGTCATTGCTCAGTTTTAGCTGAGTGGCAACAAATAAGCCCTTAAGTGGGCTAAACGCGGAGTTTCGGCTTCCTAATAAAGCCGCTTTCTAGGGCCCTGTATAAGTCTGATTTCAGCTTCTCTAGTTAGTCAGTAAAAAAAAAAAAAAAAAAAAAAAAAATTCTGTCTGAATACTTTATTACATTAGATGTAATTCTGTAATACACATCAGGTGTAATTTTGCCTCTAACTTTAAACATGTATATAACTCTCTGACATCCCAAAACAACTTTTATCCAATAAATTCGATATTTTTGATTGAAACTGCGATTTTATCGGAGAAAAACCCTACTTTGCAGCTGCTGTTGATAATCACTGAAACCATTATGAGTGAAATATGGAACAGCGGATGCCACCATTTGTTTAACAATTCAAAAATTTACCCAAAGGCAGTGATCGGGATAATTATCAGTAATATCAGAAATATTATTACTTTAAAATATAATTATCATGTCCGTAAAAACACTACAGACATTTTCTGTCAAACTTTTTGTATTAATAACGTTTTTTGTCAAACAAAAAATGGGAACCTGAAACTAAACATATGAGCTGAACAAATACACTGGCTCATAACATAAACTAAATATTTAGTTAAGTGTTTCCTGTTTTTTACAAATATAATTTCTTTAATTACTACAAAGATATTGTTATTTATGATTAGACAACCACTGCCGGCCTTAGTTTATGATAAAAAATATTATTTGCATGTTTCTCTGTAACTTTTAGTAACGTGGTATTTGTGTTAAAGTCCTGTACCTTATTTTTATTTTACCTAATAAATTCTTTTTTCATTTAAAATAATTAATTAATCTTAATCAACTTATTCCAAAACCTTTTTCTTATTCTCGATTTCTCTCCGCACAAAGTTATAAAAATAAAAAAAACATAAAAAAAAAAAACACAAAAAAATATAAAATCTAAAAATACAAAAAAATATAAATCTAAAAAACACAAAAAAATAAAAAACTTATAAAACAAAATAGTATATATATATACATATATATATATATATATATATATATATATATATATATATATATATATATATATATATATATATATATATATATATATATATATATATATATATATATATATATATATATATATATATATATATATATATATATATATATATATAAACTATATATAAACGAAACTCCGCGTTTAGCCCACTTAAGGGCTTATTTGTTGCCACTCAGCTAAAACTGACTATATATATATATAGTCAAAAAGTTATTAAAAAAAAAAATAGGCATAATATTAAATACATTTAAAAAAATCAATGTTAAAACTTATGAGGAAAACCTTTTTTAATATCATAAACGAATATTATAAAAAAAACAAAAAACCTAAATATTTTTTTAATTGTAAAGAGGTTTTATTTACTTATTATGCAAAAATAGTATATAAAGTTTGTAAATATTTATTATTTTGTAATAAAAAAAAAAAAAAAAAAAAAGTAATTCTGTCCGCTTCCTCTATGCTATCTTACTAACTCGACTACTTCTGTCTTTCACTCTAACATATTTTCGTTCTTCCCAAACTCACCTTACTTTTGGTCCGTAGAGCGGGTTATGACGCTCCTTGGGGAGCCGAACCTGTCTTTGCGGGCCTTGGTAATGTGGCCTCTTTATGGCAATTAGCCGGAAGAGGATAAATCACAATACCTTAATATATTGAGATTTTGTATATTTGTATATTTAGTATATTTGCTATTTTTAATCTTTTAATATTTTAATGATAATTTCGTTTTTATAGTGTTTTTTTGGTTACGTATAGGGCAAACTAATAGAATATAATAATGTGGAAGATAAAAAAGTGAAGGAATAAATATAACTTCTTCATGCAATCGAAGTGTGGCGTTAACTCTTAATTAGTATGTTTTTAGTGGGATAAAAATTAAAGCCACACATAAAACGCACCAACGCCATCCCATAAAAGAGATAGGTAATTATATGGCTAACATGTGCTTCTCACACGTGAGCCATATAGAACTTTCACGCACAAATGAAGCGTGGTGTTTGTTCTTATTTAGTGTGGTTTTAATGCTCAAACATACTTACAATAGTTACAAATTGAAAATTATCAAAACGGTAAGCCACCTGATATCGTGGAGTATTCTAGAGTTTCCAATGCATTGCGATAGAATTATTACAATTGGTTAAAATCTCAAACTCAAAATGAGGCAAAATCGTGAGTTTTATATGTATGGCCTATATGATAGCCGCATCAAATTTAGCACGTATTTATTTAAGGATTATGCCACAATAAGTGCAAAAGTTATGTTAACCGCATTATGGGTTTCACAAGTGGGCCATGTGTGTTCATTTAAAAACCATACTGTTTTGATATGTATATAAATATATTCTCACATAAAGTGTACAATAATGTAAAACGTGCTTAAGAAGTTACAACGTTCGCGTAGAAGAAGAGTAAGAGTTAGAGAGAGGGCGCGGGATTAACCGCTGACAATATAACACAAAATAACAAGAAGTGGTTGCCAATTAATTTATAACGAAATGTTTTATGTCCTTTTCATCGCAGAAATTGATCTTCATTGCTTCAATAGGAGCGTCCTATGCTTTTAATAAATATAGTTTATTTCAGGTCTTTGAATGTACGTTATTTTTCTATTCATAATGTATCTAAATTTGGCAACAAGGATGAGTCCGTCAGATGATTAACTGAGGCTCTGAACAATGCTTGTCTTAAAATTACCTCGTCTGGTGTCCGAGTGGTGAATCAGTACAACGTCGCCGACGTTGTACTGACGTTTGTTCCTTTATTTCTTTACATTTGTGTAATTCTCTAAATTCGGTTAGGTACTCTTTTTCCCATAGAAAATACATTAAATCATTTTTGCCAAAAGTGATTTAATGTATTTTCTATGTATGTACTACGGGTGTTCAAGTTTAATTCATATGTTTTGTCGTTAATAGCTTTAAAGTTAGTTGATCTTCCATATATTAAATGATTGGGTGTAAGTGGTAAATCTCCAGGTGATTCATACATAAACATGATTGGTCGATTGTTCAATATTGGTTCTACTTCAGCAAGAAATGTTAACAGTTCTTCGTTTGAAAGCTGATCTTTATGTGCTATTTTGCGAAGGCAGCGTTTAGTGGATCCAACTAGTCGTTCAAAAAACCCTCCCCACCACGGAGCAGCGGGGATGTTGAAATGCCACGTGATACCGAGAGATGAAGTAAAGTTTTGAGTAAGATTGGAGGTCCGTTGTCTGAGAGAATTTCGGAAGGTGTGCCACGTTTCGCAAAAATCTCCGTAAACTTCTTATGCATGATTCAGCAGAAGTTTTCGGAACAAGATCTAAAATTTTTTTTTTTTAATTTTTTTTTATTTTACATTTGTTGGTCGTATTACAACTATAAAATAAGATATCTGAAAAAAGATCAAAGGATCTTGTCGTCAGAACCTTAAATAAGTTCAAACAAGCATTATCAGTATCAAATTTTAACTAATTTCATATATATATATATATATATATATATATATATATATATATATATATATATATATATATATATATATATATATATATATATATATATATATATATATATATATATATATATATATATATATATATATATATATATATATATATATATATATATATATATATATATATATATATATATATATATATATATATAATCCAAATATATATTATATAATCCAAAGAGAAATCACGCGCATCTACTCACCATTATTTTATATAAAAGTATACTTTAAGTAAAGAATATAAAATCAAAAAAAATTAGTAAGAATAAACTTTTTACAAATATAAATAAGAAAAAAGGCAAAGTTATTAATATATATTATTAATAATAATATTTTTATATTAATAATAATACGTCTTCTAATGAAAAAATTAGGGTTTTTAATTTACTTTTAAAAAAACGAAAAGTAATGGGTAGTTCGAAGTCAAAATTGGGCAAAACTATTTTATTCCAAAGGTGTGGTGCCCGATAGGCAATACAAAATTGATTAAAGTTCGCTTGACAGAAAGGTTCATTTATTGTCATTCTCAAATTGTATTTGTTGATGGGTTTCGGAGTAAAAATATCTTTGAAAACAGATTGAGACAAGTCATTTTTCCACATTTATACAAAGCACAAAACATTATATATATTTAGCTCGTGCATATTTAAAATTCTCATTTCAATAAAATAATGTTTTGCGTGAGAAAAGCGATTTGCAAAGCAGATTGCAAAACAGCAAAAGCATAAAACATTATATATATATTTTTTTCGTATATATTTAAAATCCTCATTTCAATAAAATAATGTTTTGCGTGAGAAAAGCGATTTGAAAAGCAGATTGCAAAGCAACAAAAATAAAGCACGTGTAGTAGCACATGTAAATAAAAATATCCACACTTTATATAAATTATTTCCCTCATAAATATTTTTAATGTATAATGGTCCTGCATAATCTACACCTGTAAATTTGAATGCATGATCATTATTTAAACGACATAAGGGTAGAGGAGGGGGAGAAGGATATGAATACGGCAGGCTTTAAAGCGTTTACAAATAAAACATTTTTTAACTAGTTTTTTAATGTTGTTTTGTGCTTTAGGTATCCAGAATTGAGTTCGAATTTGCTTAAAGTTTCTTTAACGTTGTTGTGCATAACTAAATAATGATTATAATAAATAACTAAGTTTGTAAATTCTGTATTTCGAGGTAGGAATATTGGGATTTTGCGTCGTGTGTAATTGGTGCATTTTGTAGTCGACCAATGCATCATATGATTCCATCTATATTTTTTAAGTTTAGGTCTAGTTGCAGTTGCCTAAAATTTTTATCAGTAGTTGTTGTTCTTTGAACGAATATAATCCATATCTTAAATGCTTCTTCTATTTCAATTGAATCTAAATTAGATAACTTTAAATGTTTTTTTTTTTCTTTTTTAAGTTTTAAATTAGTTATAAATCGTAGTACAAAGGCTGTAACTCTTAACAACCGCAAATAGTTATTAAATCGAGTAATGTCAATCATACTTAAGTCTAAGTAATGTTCATTTAAAACTAAATTAATAGTAGTTTCTTCAATTTTATCAATTGCATTTTTTAATTCAAATTTTGACCAGTTTTTTGGACCATTATAAAGAAATGCTGGTCCGTTGAACCATGTTTTATTATTAGATGAGGGTTTTAAGTTTGTACCTCTGGATATTATGTCAGCAGGGTTGTTGTGTGTTTCAATATATCGCCAATGCAAAAAGTCAAATGTTTTTCTAAATAAACTAAAAAGTCTCTTTTGTAAAAATGGCTGCTTAACTTTATTAATATTATTAATCCAATGTAATACTATAGTAGAATCACACTAACAGACTATTTGTTTACATTAAAGTACAGGGTATAAATCTTTTTTAACTATTCACATAGTTTCAGCTAATAATAGGGCTGCCTTTAACTCAAGTCGGGTCATAAATGCTTGCAATAAACTGAAGAACTTTACGTTTCGTTGGAATTGAATCATCATTGTGAATCAAGTCTTCTTTATTATTTCATAATAAGCCTAATACTTTAGTAAGAATAAAGGAGGTAAATTTTTGTTCATTAACTAGGTTTTCAAGTTGTTTGCAGTTCGATTCGAATTTTCTAAGAGTAAAGCCAGCTTCTTTTAATCGATCTTGACATTTTTGATAAAAAATAATGGCTGAGTCAATTGAGTCAGCTCCTGAGTTCAGATCATCGACATGTAAAGAACTCATTAATTTATTAACAAATATAGGATCATCAGAGAGGTACTTTTCAGCGTAAGTAATGAGTGTAGCAGAAAGAAAAAAGGAGAAGATCAAACGCCAAACAGAACTCTGCAAATTCTATATGGAATAGTTTTTGAGTAAATATATTGTCTTTATTAGGTTAATGTTCTCGAACCACAAAAATTGGACGTAATCACGATCTTCAGGAAATAATGTAATCTGCAAGAAGGCTTTTTTAATGTCTGCCACAAAGGCAATTTTTTGGGCACGAAAACGCAAGAGGATTCCATATAAGGATGTGGTTAAAAATGGTCCAGGGTAGAGACAGTCATTCAATGAAGGGCCATCAACAGAACTGTTTGCATCGAAGACTATTCTGAATTTAGAAGTAACTTTGTCATTTCTCAGAACTGGTTGGTGTGGTAGGTAGTGTACTATTTCAATTTTGTTTTTATCAATAACTCGTTCAATAATGCTTTTATGTAATTTTTCTTTAAAAATGGCAATGTATAATTTAATTAAAGAATCACCTTTACTCAATTTATTTTGAAGACCTTTAAAACGTTTGATACATAAATCTAAGTTATCAATAAGTGGAGGATGATCTTCTTTAAAGGGCAAGTTAACATTATAGCATTTGAGGGTATAATCATATTTAACTGTGTGACAAAACCTATCAATGACCTCATAGTTACACTCATTCATCTCTCTAACACCCCATACAGATGTCATGGATTCTTTAATTAATGATTTGGGAGATGAATTTGATTCAACAAACATGACATGAGCTGTATTTACACAACAATTATAATTTTTATTCTTAAACATATTATTAACATTAATAGGACCACTTGATAAATAACCTAGCTTAGATTTAATGGCAATTGGATTAAAATAATTTCCCCTAATAATATAATTTTCAATAAATAGCTTTTTATAAAATTATATTATAGTTTATAAAACAACATAAATAATAATCAAAATGGCTGAGCAAGAAGAAGACATCAAATTGTCTTATCACCGAGCCCCATTGTGACTTCATTACAAGTCGTTTTTTACAACAAAATATATAAAATCGTGATGAATTGTTTGTGATAAAATATGTAAAAATATGTAAAACTACGATTTACTATTGATATAACTATTTATATATAAATTCGTTTAGTAAAATAAATTTAGAACAAGTTGTTTATAGATTGATTTGTGCTTCTTTATAAGCAAATAAATAAATTGTGCTAGTTTATGTTTTAAAATATAAAAATATAAATAAAATATAAATATAGATAATAAACGATTATTATCTATATTTATATTTTATTTATTTAAACGAAAAAAAAGTTTATGTTAATGTTTCTGTATAAAAAATTTTTATTTTTCCTGTATAATTTTATTGAATTTGTAAAACAAAATATAAATACAAATATAAACCTAGGCAGAGGCAAAAATAAGGCATATTTTGTCTTATCACAACGCTCCTTAAACTATATCGTAAATAAAAAATAACAAAAAATGAAAAAACGAAACACTGCATAATATAGAACGCATTTCTAAAGTTATGAGTTTTATTTAGAAATCTATGATTTACGCTATATATTTTTTTATTAGCACTTAATCTTTTTATTTAAATTTTTTCTTCCGCAATACAAAAACTAAAGGTTATAGTCAGATATCGGGACCAATGCATAGGTCCTAATATCCACTCTGCAAAAAATGAATTCTTATTTAAAGCAAAAAAAAACTCGTTTTAAGCAAATTTTTACTTGTCAGTATGGTAAGCAATTTTTTTCTTAAAATAGGAATTTATTTTTTGCAGTGCAATTAAAAATATTAAATTTTAAATACAATAAATTTAAAATTTTAAATACGAAATTAAAGTATATTAAAAACTATATTGTTAAAAAGCATGCAGGAACACGTATAATCCTGAATCTTTCTTTTTACACAAGAGTCTGTATCAGCATCTACCTTGAAATATGTGGAGAACTTTTATAAATCATAAGATTTTATAGAAGAAGAATTGAAGAGATAACAAACTACATGATCTTTTCTAACATTAAGCTGTTAATGACAAATCTCTAATTGATGGTTAGGGTTGAGTGGGGCATAAAGGGACACTTAAGAAACAAATTCTATTTGCTAATAAACTAATCATAATTAACACTATTTTTTATAAGTTTTCTTAAGTTTATTTATATAAGAAAACGGAAAAACCAAAAAAACAAATTTTTAATAAGCTTTGACAACCAAAGTAACGAAACCCTAAACTAGCAAAATTTCTACATTTTGCAAGTGGGTGAGGCAAAGCGGGACTGTTAAAAAGCAGCAGTTATACGTTAATTATGAAGTTTTAAAGTGATAAAAAAGGAGGCTTTTTATCATTTAAACATGGTCAGACATTAAAATCTTAAAAAAGCATCGTACCCTTACAAATTACACGCCCATACACCCTTTAAAATAAGTTGTAAAAATAACAGTTTCTTTGAATTTCATTACTTTTCTAATTAATGAAAATAATACTTTAGATTAAAAATAAAATTATGAAATAGTAAAAAAAATAATTTTAATATAGTCAATTATATAAATAGTTTGTTGTCTCGATATGTCCCACAAAAGTCATTTTACTGAATTTAAAGCTATTCAAAAAGCTCAATTCAAGATTTTTAAAACCAGATTCTAAAAGAGGATTAAAATTACTGCCTAAAAAAATATAAACTTTTTATAAATAAATCAAATCATCAATAGTCCTATATAAATCTTTTGTCGATGTATCGCTTAAGGAAAATACGCAGTTTTTCGCAAACTTACCGATGCATTTTGGTACTTTTAATGCATTTCGGTACTACTAAATTATCTTTTTTTTACTATAATGAAGCGCTATAATTTAAAATGTTTTATCAAAAAATTTTGGGAAAAAAAAAATGTTTAGTTGAGATGTAAGACTTAAGGCATAACTATCCCATTATGCCCCACTGTCCAAATATACTTTTTAAAAGCTTAAAAAAATATCGCTAAAAAATTTTTTAAAAAAATGCCAAAATTTAATAAAAAAATTTCTGAAAATAAAAGAAATAAAGTGAAACTTAGATTGCTTGAAAAACATGTAGCTGTAAGTATATTTTTATTAAATGTTTTTTTTAATATTTAATCATTTTTTTTAAAAAAATATATTTTTCTTTAGATTGTTAAACCCTACGTTCCTGAGAATGTGTATAAAACGGAAAGAAGTTACATTCCTAGAGTGGTAGAGACATGACCACTCGAGAGTGAAGACGAGGAGATGTACCAAAACGAACTGGATTATTTTGACGATATACCGGAAATAGATGACGGTAAATTTTTAAACTGTTAAATGTTATTTTATAAACATAAAAATTTTTTTAGATCACTTGATCTGAAAAAATTTAATATTTTATATTTAATATTTTTTTAAATAAAATAATATTAAATATTTTTTTAGATCAAGTACGAATATTAGACGGTATAATGACGAATATTAGACGGTAAATTTCTTCTTATATATATTTTTTTTGTAACGTTGGATTAACTTTAAATAAAAAAAAGATTAACATTTTTTTTTTAAGATTAAAAAAAGATTATGACGTGGTTGGGACGGAATCATAACTTGATAATCAGAAAGGGGACAATCATCATACACGGCATCAAGCAACTCTGTTTATGTTTGTATATTATTATATATTACTATATATGTTAAGGTATAACTTAAATAATTTTTTTTTTTTAATTAGCAAGTATAACTGAAAATTTGTAGCACAATATTATATAGCAATATATTGCGTCAATATAGCAATATAATGCGTCGGTAATAATTTTACAGTCATTTATAAATAGACTTTTTAGTAATAAAACTAATATTCATTTTTATTTTACATATAACCTCTCAAATTTTGCTCCAAGTATTTTTTATATCAT